TTGTAAATGCTGTTGCAATGTGGGCTTCACCTCGTTATGCTTGGTATGTTTGTAAACTTCTTGACGAAATTCATAGACAAGAACGTGAAGAGCTAGAGAACAAGCTTGAAGCAAAAGACAAAAACATACAGAAAAGAATACCACGTTCGGTACCAAAAGGAAAGGAAAAGAACTATAAGTATATGATTTATACTGAAGAGATGGAAAATGAAGAAGACAGGATATGGTTATGTTGCATTTAGTCAGAAGAAACAACAAAAGCTTTTACGACCTTGCTAAGATTTACAAATCTGACGAAATTGGTTCTATCGCGAAAACTTACCGATTTCAATGACACCGAATGAAGATGTGAAACAAATAGTTCAAGATACGTTACCTCAAACACACTAATGATATTAAAGGTTGTACAATTCTTACCTTCAAAGAAGATTTGCCGCTACTGAAGGAAAAAATAACAGAGTATTTTGACAACTTCAAACAAGCAGAGTAAATGAACCATTTATTTTTACGCTTGACTTTTTACAATTTGAACTTTGTTTGCGTAGATATGAATTCTGAAAGAAGTATGAGGTCTTGTATGACTTTGTACTTTCCCATAGTTCATGTCTGTCAAACTTACCTGCCATGGACTCTTTCATAAGTTCCATGAAATCGTCTTCTGACAATCCTGGGAAAAGTATAATGTCAGTAAGTATTCTCTTTACATCTTTACTTAAACTCTTTGCTGTCTGTACACAAATGACAACTGAGATGTTAAAGTGTCTGAGCTTCTTAAGAATTCGACACATATCTTGTTCTCTATTCTTTAACAAAGGATGAGAGGCGAAATCATCTAAGATAAGAAGACATCTATGAGGGTACGTTTTCCAATCGTAAGATTGCAATTTCTTCGAAATGTATTCTATCTCTTTCTGTTGTTTCTGAAGTGTTTCTTCTCTAATATTCTCTGCATTTCCTCATTTGGGCTTTAAACTTAGAATTTATATACTCATTATAGCATGTACTTCAAAACTCTTCTTGGTACTTCTTTATCCAATCTAACAACTCAGGTCTTTATACATACTAACTTAGACTTTTTTATAATATCTTTGAAACGAATTGACGGTTTGGTCAAAATGACCAGATGTACTACAAATGACTACTAACTCATAGAATGGGTTCTTCTCATCTAGTTCTTGTGTTTGTGCAGCCATTTTAAGATAAGTGAAAGTCTTACCCGACCCAGGTGGTGCGATTAGACCTGTTATACCATTCTGAGCAAATAAGAACTTTCATGTATAGGCTTTATCTGAGCATTTTCTAACTTCCTCTTGTTCTTGTTTAAAACATTCTCAAATTTCTTGTCAATGTCAGCAAACTTTTTTTCTAACATATTTTTAGAAAAATTAAAATTTTTATCTTTTTGAAAATGTCTAGCGATTTCGCTTCTATATTCGAGACAAACTTTTCGACAGCAAAACATCTGTCGACCATAAAATCTTACATAGTGTAAACAAGAAAGTGAATTTGTTCTAAAGTTCTGTTTCTGGGAATATGACAAGAACCATAAAACATTACAAAGAGCAGTCTTAAAATTTGTCAATGACAGACTTGTTGACAGAGATGACGCCGATTGGAAAGATGAAGTCCAACAAAAGTTCTTAGAATGCAAAGAAGACACATGCGCTGTTCTTGAAGATGAAATAGAAAACAGAATAGAAGAGCTATTAAAGGACAAAGAACTTTTACATAAATATGGTTGCCGCCAAATTTGACATAACTCCACCAGAGAAGAAGAAGAAGAAGAGAGAAAAGAAAGAAAAGAAAGTAGAAGAAGAGAAAAAAGAACCTGAACCAGTTCCAGAGAAAAAGAAATTTGACATGTAAAATAAAAATTTTATTTTTAGAACATTTCTGGTCAATGTCAATGTTCTCTTCCTCTTTAGGGGCAAACACTGGCTTAGACTCTAAAATCTTTTACCCAATTACCTTGAACTTCAACTATCTTAGACTCATAATATTCATAGTCGTCTGCTTTTTTGGTTCATAAGGTATAACAAGTTTGTATGCTTTGCCTTCTTTAAGTTTGAGAACCTTCTGTCAAAATTTTTTGACTGTTAACAAACCTTCTATGTCTAAGTCTTCAAATTTCGCACCATTTTTAGTCACAATAGCAAACTTAACGGGTTCGATGTTCCAAACTTTGTCATATGTAGACTTTTCAAAATGGTAGAAGTAAACATTCAAATAAGCGAATGGGTCTAGTTCTTCTTTAAGTCCTGACATATATTTGTTGACTGAGATGAATTTCATCATCTTTTCTATCGGATAAAAAAATATTTTTTATAAAATTTACTCAGAAAAATTTTTCTTTGTATATACGCCGTTCTGTACATCTAAAAGACTTTTGACATTTGCCAAGAATGTACGTTTAGAAGCTGCCATATAACCATACTCTTGACAATATTGTTTATATGAATCGTACAATGACCTTTCATCTAAACACTCAAAGTTAGTCTCATCTATGAACAGTTCATATACACTCTTGTTTGCTTCTAACAATGTTTGTCTTTCTTCGGTATGTGGAATTTGTCTTGGATTGAACTTTGAAATATCTAATGTCATGAAATATGAGAACAAGTGGTTGTAAAAGTTAGGTGTCAAAGTTTCTGCTAAGTCGTCAAAATATTCTGTATCTTGCATATGAGAATCTGACGTTCTGACAACTACATATCTTCTGTCAGAACTTTCTAACTTCATCGGAACAACATTGTTTGAAACCATGACGAAGTTTGCAACATTTTCACAAACTCTTTGGTCTCTATACTTTCTTTCAACAACTCCAACTTTGTCTGTTATAAGACTCTTCAAAGCATCTGAGTTTAAAACCTTTGTTGTATCTATACTTTGAAGTTCGTTACATACTATAAGTTTCATATTCTCTATTGAAGAGTTAAATTTACCGCAGATGTTTTCTAAGTTTGTCATATTAGGGTTCGAATAGCCCTCTAACAGTTTGCACAAAATATCTGTAAGAAAGTGTTCTTACCAGTTCCTTGTTTTCCAATTATAATGAGAGCAGTTTCATTCTTAGCACTTGGATGTTGTAAGATGTTTGCAAACCAACATAAGATATACTCATAGACTCTTTCGTTTCCATTGCATATAATTCTTTGACATGGTCTAACCAAGCTTCTATAACATTTTCTTTCCATTCTACTTGTTCGTATTTATATCCAGTGAAGATAGAATAGAAGTTTGGAGATGGTGTATAGAACTTTATACCACGAACTGAAAAATCTTCTAACTTTGACAATAAGATATCCCAAGCATCTAACATCTTCATACCAACTTGTACGACTTTTATTTTCTTAAGTTTCTGTCTACATTCTTGTTCTGAAACTATGGTTGCTCTTGGTTTGTTAAAGACAACATCCCATTCTTTCATGACATAACATTCTGGGGCAGAGTCGACATAAATGACTAAACGTTTCAAATTCTCGACTGCTTTGTTATAGTCTCTAAATGGACACATATTTCTGAACGCTTGGAAGTCATAAAAATCTGAAACGTCTATTCTGTACAATTTTTATAAAAATAAAAAAAATATTTTTTTTTATTCTTGACTTTGTTGTTCCATTTGTTGCATTTGTTGTTCTTGAGCTATTTGTTGTTGAAGTTGTTCTTGTAATACAATACTTTCACCAGTTTGCATCTTCCAATTCGAAACTTTCTGCCGTCATTGACAAATACATAGGACATAAAAGTTTTACAGGAACAAAGTTTGCGTCAACTAATGTCAACGTTATACTTGCCAATGTGTTTGAGTTCACTAAGGTTGAAAATTCTGCATTCGAATGAACAATAGGCAAACCAGCAGAGAAAGTATTGTTTATACGCATAAGTATCTTTTGGTCATAATAGTTTCTGTCGACATTCGAATAACACTTTGAACCTAAGTTTGAAACAATATATAAGATTGGTGTGCTTAATGTCAATGGAATAGAACATTCCTTGTATGACACCTTTTCCTGTTATAGGAAACTGTTGGTAGTAAAAACCAGAAATAAGTTTTGTATTATAGCTCATATCGTTTTATACTAAACTCAGTCGGACATCCAAACATAATGAAACCTGCTCTAGTTGCAGCACATGTTACATCCGTCCTTAAAGTATTAAATAAGTCAACAAAACCTGTTGGTGGTATATCTGAGTAAGTATCTTCAAAGAAGTATTTTTTACCATTCACAACAACAAAGTCTTCTGGTGTCAAAAGAGCAAAACAGGCTTTAGTCGTCATCGTGTTTTAAGGTCAGTTTACAATATCGTCCTTGAGGACTTTGTAAGTTTGTTGTTATAGAATTATATGACTCAGGGTTTTTAGTCGTAATAGTATAAACCACTATGTCTTCTGCCATTTACTTAGCAACTAAATTTTAATGAAATGTTGTGGTCGTCAAATATTTTTATGACGTCTGGGAAACTATATTTTAAGTTCAACGTTTCACCTCCTTTCATAACGTATATCTTGTCAATGACATTATATGAAACACCACAGCAAGCAATGTCGGGTTCTATTTCTTTGATGTTTATATCGTCTGCCTCTGTCAAAAGTTTCAATAGTTCTTTCAAAATTTCATGAGGTGCGATGACATATGAGTTCACTTTACAGGGTTGTGCTCAACCAAGTTTAACATTATACCCAAAGCTTGACAAATCTTCTCCTGAGTTTTAAGTTTGTCTTTAAGTTGTTGGTAGTCGTTTCGAATATCTGCAACAGAACTTAAGTCTCTGCTAACTTCAGGGTATGTTGGTTGTTCTTTTACAGGAACTATTGTTATACCATCTTCGTCTTCGTATGGTTTCCCCACTTCAACATCTCTTTCTTTGACATTGACAACAACACTTTGACTGTTTGTTTGAGTTGGTGAATTTAACTTCACATCTGCCACCGCCATTAAACCTTTTGAAACACTTACGCTTCTATTTTTCGGAAATGACATTTTACTTAGAATAAAAAGATGGACGTATTTGAGTATCTCTTTGAATTGAAGCAAAACAAAGTTTACACACACAAACAGTACAAGTTCATTGACAGAATAGTTCTTTACACAAACAATGGAAAATGTTATAGAATAGCAGTCTTTGCTGAACCAAAATATTTTCATAAAGCAAAGAAAGTTGGTATAACCGAGATGGTGAAAGTTCTTGACGTTGACAAAAATATAGCAACAAAACTGACCGATATTTCTAAAGGTAAGTTTATAATACAATATTATATCAAAACTGGCGTACTGTCAATATTTGACGGAGAGAAGTCAGTTCAAGAACAACTTACTGACCTGCTGCCAAAAATCTGCTCGATGGAAGCTGTCGTTATGCCAATCTGAGGAGCCCCAGCAGGTTTCATCGAACGAATCTTCAAAAGAGCACTTCCGTGAAAAGTGCTATTGGTTTTGTAAACTTCTTTGCTCTCAATTCATCTGGACCGTCTCTGTCACCAGTATATTGTATTTGTACAGTACCAACAGTTGAAATACCACCCATAAAGTCTTCTGAGTCAGCAAATGGAATCCAAGCCAAAAGTTTGAACGGTCTCCATTTGTATATTGAGTTTTTTGACCTCCTGTATAGTCCATACTTTCACATATGGCATAATAGAACTTTGCATTTCAGGGTTAATGGTTGTTGTGAAGTGGTTGTTAAAGTTCATAGCATCTAATGTCAAGTTGTATGACCTCATATCCTCAACTGTAGAATATTCTTCTCTTGGATAATATTTGCCATCTATGTTTATATGATATTTAATACCAGGTTGTAGAAACAAGAATAGTCATTTATAGTTCGTCTGAACAGTACAAACATAGTATCTGCATGTTTCATTGCAGTTGTTAAAGCAATATCTGTTCTTGCACCTGGGTCAGCACTTTTGGTTTCCAACTTCACCTGCAAAGTCTTTGACAGATATTTGGTGTATAGGGAACATAAGTGGAAACTGCAATATATTTGGCAGCTAAAGCATTTGAAATATCTGGGTCCAACATATAGACTGCAAGTCTGCTTTCTATTCTCTTGCATTCAAATTTTTCGCATGTGAACTTAACTGGGTCCCAAGCATCTCCAGCAGCATTGAAATAATAGTTTACTTCAGTGTTGAGGTTTGAGAAACCAAAGTCTAAGTCAACCTTGCCTTTGCAAAATTCGGCGAATGACGTTTTATTTGTTGTTCCCATTACGTCTGTAAGAGTGAATGGGTCTTGTGTTGGTGCAATGACTAAGTTATTTTTGCTTGGAGTAAGTTCGATAGAAATTTTTCCTGCCCAGTTTGGCAAGTATCTTAAAAACCTGAAGATGAGGAAAGATGACAAAGGAACTCTAAGTTTCAGTTTTTACTTTGGTTACTGCTGCTGCAGTTTGTCCAGAAAGGTTAACATAAACTCCTGGAACGTTAGGGTCAAGTCTTCTTATTTTCTCAATAGTTGCATATTGGTCTGTTTGTTCTCTAGCTTGTGGTTGTACTGAGTTTTCTCAAAGCGAACCATTCATAGTTTGCCCATGTTACTGTTTGAACTAAGTCAGAGTTAGAATATATCTTATATCCCATGAAAACTTCTGGAGCATATTGGTATCCGACATAGAAAATTCCATTGCAACCTTTCTTGTCAGACAACTTGGCAGAAGGTTTTATTTCAATGTCTTGTTCCACGTATAAGAATGAGTTGTCAATAGAAAAATATATGAAACCTGTCGCAAGCAAATCTACTGTTGTTGAAGAACCTTCTCCAAACTCACCTACGTTTCCATAAGAAACAGCAGTTGTATATTCGTAAGTTCCAGGAACTATTTCTGACCTTCTAATGGCATTGTCGCATTCGTTATACCATTCGGAAACATTTCCATTCATAGCATCCAAAACTGTTGGCGTTATATTCTGAGCGGCGTACATTTCATATGAGTAAAAATATAGAATAGTTGGATTTATATGTCATAATAGAAACCCACGTGGACCAAAGCTTTACTTTCTTCCTGACTGAGTTTTTAACTCTTCTTTTCCTTCATTGCCTCTGCTTGAAGTTGTTGCATCTTTGCATTATGTTCATCTAGTATGTTGCAAATTTCCCATGTCCTTTTTGCCTTTTGGCTCTGGTCGCCCATCTCAGGTAACCTATATCCTAGAAAGAGTTTGTCATAGTTTGTAATTTGAGTCTTCCTTTATTGTTTGCATGACTCTTCCTGAGTTTCAGGTTCAAGCTCTTCAAACAGTGCCTGCCCATATGGAATAAGCTCGTTTCCAAAATATGTTTTTGTAGCCATTCTTTTCTTTCCATGTTACCAACAATATCTTTTGTGAATGGGGAAAGCTTTTACCCAATCTTTCAGTCTTTCGTCATTTATTTCTGTAGTTGGTTTTATTTTGTCAAGGAACATGTTTTTCAATACTAACATTTCATTTGGTACTGTCCATTTGAGTTTTCTTAAATATTCATCCCTTCTCGGTTCATTGTCGCAAAGTAAGTTTTTATGACATTTTGTAAACTTTCGTTTGCAAGGTCATGGACAATAGGTTCTCTTCCTTCTCTCTCCCTAACTTTCTTTCTAAACTCTTCACCAAATATACCATCTCTATGGTTCTGTGTAGTTCTTTGAGATAAATGTTCTAAGAACGTCAGGTGTTATATTTCCATCAGCCATGTTCATTTCATACTGGTTCAAAATATCTGCATCTTTCATATCTTTCAATGGCATTAAAGCCGCGCTTAAAATACCAGCTATATCTCGTTCACCATTGACTTCCATTGCGTCTACAACTTCTTGGAATTGTGGTTGTAAGTTTATGAACCACCTATCTGGATTAGCTTTATGACCCCATCTCATTGTAGTTCCATCGTCTGCAGAAACAAAAGGTAGGTGTTTCCATCTTGTTAGGTTCTGCAATGACTTTAAACAATGTTTCATTTCTATATGTTTTCTTTGGAAATTTAACCTTTTATTTTCACGATTTCATCGGAGATTGAACGTTAAATGGCTCGTAAGTAAAAAAGGTTGTTGTATTTGTGTACATTTTTTTTTCAGTTCATTCCATTTCTATGCTGGATATTTTCTCTGATGTTGGAGTCTTCTTGTATGTCGGCAAACATTTTTCGATATTCTATCTACTAATTGTTCAGCCGAATTTTTTTTAGACTATTTGGAAATATTCCTTTTATTTCTCCGCTACTCTTTGTTGAGGGTCCAGATTTTTCGGCTGTTTCCAAATTCTTCATCTAGTTCTGTGAGTTAGTTTCAAGAGAAGGACTTGTTTCGTTTCCTTCAGGCTCTTCTAGCTGTTCGTTGGCTGAACTATTTCCTTTTCCATGTCTGGTCGTGGCTATCTGAAACTTCTTTCTGTGGAGTTTCTTGTAAAACCCCCTTTTCCATCTTTTGCTTTTTTTTGGGGGGGGCCATTTCATATATTTCCGAGACCGTTTTCAACAATTTCACATCTACGTCATCCGCATTATAAGCTTTTGTTCTTTTCGTTTCCGTCTCTATTTTTCTTACGCGTTTTCATGGACGAAAGTTGAATTGTCATTAGCTCTGACATCCAAATATCTCGTAGTAAATTTGTTTATTTGTTCATTTGGGTATATGCTATTAAATCGATATCCTTAGCGAAGCTTATTGTATTTTCCAGGTTTGGAATTATATCCGTTTTTGTGCTGAGCATAAGCTAAATAGGTTCGGGTTCAGTATTTCATCCTTGAACTTGTCTAATTAGCTTCTTTATATCTGTCACTAAAGTCAATACTATCTGGGAACCACACTCTTCTTTAAGCATTTTTTAAGAATTCTTTGGTTTCCTTGTTCTCTACTTCTTTTTGTCCTTGCTCTGTTTGTGGTGTTTGTGGTGCAGTGTTTTGAAACTGTGGTTGTTGGTGCTGGTTGTGTGCAGGGTTTTGAAACTGATTGGTTGTTGTGGCATGCCTTGTTGTTCTGTGTCCATGTGACGATGTAAATGTTCTAGGTAGGTTTCCTGGTGCAGGTGCTTCTCTATGGAGGGTTTGGTAATATAAGTTCCACCAAGCTGCACACTATTTCCATCTGCAGCGTAATGCCTACCTGACTTTTCTTCTTAAGAAAGCATTTACTAGGGGTCTGTTATTGGTTCTGTAGTAACTCTTTTCATTGACTTTTCACAACAGTTGCTCTAACGGCAGCTGTCATAGGGCTTTTAACTGCCTGTACTCGTTGCTGCATCTGTTATTTTCGTCATATTTGTCGCTACTTCTTTAACTCTTTGATCGAAACCTTTCAGACTTCAGTTTCTTTTCCAGTGAGAAGTCGTTCACTTGTTTCACCTTACTATAGAGCTTCAAGGCGTTCTTAAGTCAGCATTTGTTAAGCTTATTTGAAACTGTTTCATCCGCTTTGTATTTTTGTCCTTATTGACCCTCATGAGTTTTGGCTGCTTTAGCGTTTGGCTTGGGCATCTAACCAGTCAGTGCTTTTATATTATTCTGTGCTTTTCATTGCTTTTTGCATTAGCCGCGTCGTTTATTTTTACTTTCTTGTGCTAAGTTTTCATACTGTTACTGTTTTGGTTTGCAACTGTTTAAAGTTTTTCTGCCTTTAATTTGCTTCATTCTTTTTTATACTCAGTCGCATATTCCATATATGTCTTCAGGGCTTTTTGTTTTATTCTCTTCATTCTTTCAGTTACTTTATATTTGTAGTTATGGTTTCAAATTTATGACATACTGTTTCATTTTTTGCTACTTTTTGCTGCCTTTTTCTGACACTTTTTTTCGCATATTCTCTGTACTTAGTTCTTTAGTTGTTCTTCTTTTCTTCTTTTTCTCTACGTTTAACTCATTTGAGTTTCTTAGTGTGTCTGTCATATTTAGTTTTCTTTTCGTTTTCACTTATTTGTTCTGTATGTCTATGTTGATTTTTGCATCTGTTATCTTTGATTTTGAGTGAACTTCAAATTCATTGACTTGAGGGTTATAGGCGTTCCGTCTGCAGCTCCACCATACCTGCCATTTTCGCTAAAAGTGCCCGGCTTCTTAAACCTCCACTCTGTGCACCAAACACTCGGTTTAAAAGCAATAGGATTGTTTGACATTTGTTTCAACATTAGTGGGAGTCATTCAGCATTTGGTTGTTGCATACATGTTGTTTGATGGTGTTCATTTACTATTGGATGTTTCCAATGCTCTCATTCCTCTTACCGTATATTCTTTACGTAGCTTAGTGGCATTTTTTAAGTGAAGGTTAAAAAATTTCGCATGAAGAATTTCGGACAAAACATTTACGAAGAAATCATGAGTTTTCTACCCTCTTGAATTTTCATGATAAATTTACACCAAAAAATATTTTATGTTAGAATGTTAGATCTAACATGTTTTTCTAACATGTTTTTCTACATCGTTACGAAAACTCTTGGAAAATCATTGAAATTTACACCAAAAATTAATTGTTTATGTTTAGAATGTTAGATCTAACCTCTACCCTAAAAATTATATTTTTTGGGTCCATTTACGCTCATTACGAAGAAGTCTTTGACAAAAAATATACGATGAAGTAAGTTTCGAACAAAACATTTACAAGAAATCATGGTTTTCTACGACTGTTTAGAAAACAGTTAGAAAACGTTGTTAGAATCTAAAACATTCTAAATAAAATAATATTTATTGGGTCATTTACGCTCATTACGAAGAAGTCTTGACAAACGTTTACGTATCATGGTTTGAACAAAACATTTACGAAGAGTCTTGACTAAAACATTTACGATGAAGTCTTGACAAAACATTTACGATGAAATCATGACAAAACATTTACAGATGAAGAAGTTTTCGACAAAACATTTACGAAGAAATCATTGAAGTTTTCTACGATATTAGAAAACATTGTTTAGAAAAACGTGTTAGATCTAACATTCTAACATAAAATTAATTTTTGGGTCATTTTCGCTCATATACGAAGAAGTCTTGACAAAACATTTTACGTTATGGTTTGACCACAACATTTACGAAGGAAGTCTTGACAAAACATTTACGATGAAGTCTTTGACAAAACACTTTACGATGAAATCATTGACAAACAAGTCAACGGGCTGTCGGCTGGGGTTCGGTCCTTACCTCTTGGGTCATTTTGGGAAAAATTCTTTAGGGGTGGAAGCCCTCCGAATAAAACTTCATTTATACTAAAACATCTTCAGGGCTAGAAGGCACGAAGTGCCTGGGAACCCCACTTCCTTTTTTTTTTTTTTTTTTTTTTTTTTTTAATGAAATAAATCATTAAAATTAACAATAATTTTAAAATAATTTTTTTTAATCTTTTATAAAAGAAG